AAAAGGACAGAACAAACAGCAAGGAAACAGCCCAAGAGGAAGAGATATTGGAAAAAAACACATGCGCAAATCCGCTGGGTTTTGAAGATTTGATTAAAAATAGCCAGGTAGAACCGGCATAAACACACATCAGCGGCTTAGGGGTTCGTGTTAACTGTTAGCCAGGTAGAGTAGTTCTCAAGTTCCCTTGTGGCTTTTGGAGCGCCTCAGGCCGACAGAACTATGGACATTTTCCTTCCCATCATCGCGCACAAGGACGGGGAAAAGAGGGGCAACACAGGTGCTTTTTGGGCCTCGCCCATATTCACTAACTACAACACCCATTTCGGGGCACTGCGGATTCCTGCTCTGGGTGGTTCAGAAGTTCACTTCGGCAGCAACTCATCTCTGTGAGGTTTGGCGTTTCGCTCGTCCTGTTTTTTTCTTCTCCGTCTCGTGGAGCTGAGTGTGACAATCGAAGATGCAGAGAGGTCCAGTCCTCTCCGACATGTCAGGGTATGGCGGCCTTCACCTTGGGCATCAACTGGGGTAGCCTCGGTCACTTGGCGCGATCCGGGGTGATGCGGGTGCTCTGGGCGCTTATTTTAATTTTCAGGTGGTGATGCCGGTGGGGTTGGTGTTAGCGGTGTGACTCATTCGGATGGTTTTGATGTAAATCCACGGTCATCAGGCATGGCGTACATATTTCAGCCTTGGCCGCTCACCGTTTGCTCAACGTTTGCAGACCATTAAAGACATGCGAGCTGTGTATGTTATGTGAGATGTGGGCATACTCAGGTAAATTGATTGACCAGCCTCCCAGGACGAACTTGACTAGACCTCCTTAAGAGCTGATTCAGAGGATGGCTGCAATTCACATGCCCCATATGAAGCAGTCACACGGCAGACTTTGCATGCTGCCGATGAAGAGCAGAGGTGCCAGTCACATGGTTTGGTGGTTGATGTGGTGAAACGTGGTGCGAAACCGTGCCATAACATACATAACCGGCCCGCTCAGGCTGGTATGCCCTCGCAATGCTCGTTTTCTCACTCGTGTCTCCTGTGGGGGTGCTGGTTGGCACAACTGCCGAGGGCAGTGTCGCAGCGAGCCGTGGCAAGCAAATGGCTTTGGCATTGAGGGTCATCGGTGGTGAGGCACTGATAGTCACAGTCCATTCTGCTCGTTTTCGTCGGGTCCCGTCTACCTCAGTAGGGTAGGGCATTTTTTACTCATTGGCAACTGCAAAACAGCGAAGCAGATTCTTCCTAGGAGCATCATTTTTCCAAATCTGCAGGAAATCCGAGTGAATTGTGACTTGGGCCATTTAGACACAGACAATTGTGGAATTTTGTGGCGGGGTAGTGTTCCAATGCAGAGTTCAGCACTGCTCTCTGGTGTCAGCCTAGGAGCATTCTTTTGTCACTCTCTGCTGGCACCTTCCTCTACATAGGCAGGGACCCACCACTGACCGCGTTTTCTCCCTGGCTCAGCTTTCAGCTTTGCGCGTGTTAAGCGCTATTTGGAGACCTGACTGATTGGTTTTAGACAGACCTAGATCCTGCCGAGAATCAATCAAGACAGCTGGACCGTCAGATGGGCAGGCGAATCAATTGGGACATCCCGTGACATCCCTCTCATTTTCGCTAGAGCTCCTCAGAAACCATCAATCCCTGGGCAACCCGACGAGCCTTGAGGCTTAGTGGAGACGATGCCCGGTGTCCGAAAGCCTTGGCTTCCCAGCATGCTTGGCCGTGCGGCGCAAATGGGGGTGCCATGGCAAATGATAGCAAATGGGTTGAGGTGAGTTATCTTGAAAACACAATGGCAACTCTTTTCTTTCGAGTCTTTCCCCTTGGTAGCCCCGGCAGCCATACTTCGGTGAGTCCAGGTGTGCACAGCGGGCTTTGCGGCCATGGGCACGCTGGCACTTTGGGCCTAGGCAGATCAATCCCGCTTGAAAGAGACTCCTTGCAAACAGACACAGGAAGCGACGGGTCGTTTTGGGGGTCCCTTTTTCATCAACTTTTTCCTGGTAGCCAGTTTACAGCCATGGCGACATCAGTTGAGGAAGGATTGACTTGGGATTTGATCTGCCAACGCGAGTTGATGTAGACACGAAGCTACTGGACCTGAACATATATTATGGCCTTGCCATGCCTTGCCATCTTGGACAAAAAGGGGCACCCTGAAAAAGGCTTAAAATGCTTAACCTGCTCACCTCCTCCAGGCATAGCGTCCCAGGGCAGAGTCTGCTCCAGTCCGGGCCCGATTTCTGAAAGCACTGGACCTGAAGCTGGCTACTGTATGTAAGCTAGTATTGGGGGCGCAACCCTTTTCATGATAATCTTCACGGTTTGATACAGATATACATTTTTCCAACGCAGAGCTTCTTTCGTCTTTGCGTTTGCGCCGTCTTTCGCCGCTTGGCCAGATTGAGTTTTGGAAGTCTAAACACCTCTCCTACCCTTGTGATTAATTTTGCAAGAACATGTGTGTGAGGGAGAGAGCGAGGGGGCGGGATGGAGCGAGGTGAATTTGAGCATCGACTGGTGAGAGCTTTGCGCTTTTGGTCGCCCTTCTCGCCCTTCGGGCTCGATAATACCCCGAGCCTGAAGAATCTAATTCATGCAAACTCCTCGATTTGCTAAGCAGGAGTGCTCTTTTGCCGGAATTCAAGGTGGGAGCATCAATAGTACTGTCTGCCCTCCTCTCTGCACCGCTTCTCTCGGGTCCCCCTATTTTCCGCCGCTCGGAAGGGCTCCGGGCTCGAGCCCGCCCAGCCTTGGCGGAGCCGGACGGAGGCGGAGCTGGACCCGTTAGTGGACCGAGCCTCAGCGTTGTTTGATGTCCAGGGCCAGCAGCTGTGACCTCCCTGTGGTCTATCCCAGGTCCCAGCAGAGGTTGAAGAACCCTATACACTAACCTATGAGGTCACTTAACCTCTGTAGGTCTGTCGAACTGTCGAGTAAGTATATCTATGAAGACATATCCTCCAGGAAGCTCGCTCCCGGGATCAAGAATCGATGGGCAGAGCCCTCGATGCTGTCGACCCTTCTCAGATGCCTTCAATCCGGTCCATGCGCTTGACCGTTCGGGTGCTGCAGCGTTTTCCAGGATGATATCAGTTCAATGAGGGCATCAAGGATTCCAAATTGGTCGGCTGAACCGGGGCCCAATTGTCCTGGTTAGGCCAACAAGGCCTTCAAGATCAGAGAGAATATCGCCGGACTTGGTACGGATCGCGCACCAGACGCGGACAGAATCAGCAGACGGATCATCCAGGCGCGACAATTCATCAATTTCTGAAGCTTGATTCACCAGTCCGGACCTCTGCACCCCTTATATGCTCATAGATGATCATAGGCTCATAGGATATTTTCTATGCAAGACATGTGCAGGACATTATGCTACGATGTATGCAGATCTTTCTGCCTACTGTCTATATGTATATTTATTGCTGTTATTGGTGTTGTTGATGTTGTTGCTTGGCGCACATTACTGCACATATCAATAGGCATATATATATATATACACACTATATACATTGAAATCATTTCATGGTCCCCAATGGCCCATTCTTGGCTCGCCAGCCCGTCGGATCGATGGTTGGATGATCTGGAAAAGGAGGTGCATGCCCGACCCGCGCTCACCGACATGCGCCACGAGGTGTGGTAGTCCTCTGTTAGATACAAGATGGATCAATACTATATACTGTAAATGCACCAACTACTGACACATGTCACAGATTGGACATGTTCCAAGTTCTCATTTGGGATAGATTGTCGACTCCCCCTCCAGCTGTGCATGGCTTTGGCCGAGTATGTGCTTCTTGGACTTCTAGCCTTTCGTGCAATTGGAACTTGAAGATCTGCACACGGGGGTACTGAAAGTATGTAGGTTCCAAACAAACATAGGTTTGGAAGATGACTTTTCCATACTTTCCCTTATATAACTACTAGGTGGGGGCTACGGCTACTTGAGTGTAGGCAAGGAGGACCTCATTGGCCTTGTTGACGCGCCTCGTGTCGTGGATCTTGGCCTGTGAGCGAGACCCACGGGCGTGCAGCAGGGCCCTTTTCCAGCTGCGAATACCGAGTGCGATGCGACCCGCGATCCGCGGGCGCTCCGATGTCGGGGAAGGCCCTCAGCAGGCAGCAACTCGGCAATGAGGCCACGCATGGCGAAGCACCATCCGGCTTCCTACTCATGTCAATGTTTTGGTGCTGGACGGCTGGGTGAAAAGTGTACGCAACAGCAGCAACACTGCCCCTTCGACATGTTTATATCAGGCGAATTCTCCAACTCATCCAGTTCCCTCATCCTATGTGATCCCGGGCGCTTTTTCACCAACAACAAGCAGCACACATCGTTTGAGGGTCAGCCCGTTGTGGGAGCTCCTGCGGTTCTGCTTGAGCCGTTCCAGCTGTGACGCCCTGGGCCGTACCAGCTGCAATCCAGGCCATAAAAGAAGGCATTCGGGTGCGTTGCCCTGCTTTGACCGTAGCATGTAGGCCCCAAATAGAATCAAACAGATAGAACAGTAGATCCCCACTGAACATGTATTGGAAACCGTGCCGCTATCTATTTGGGGATCCGGGATCACTATAGTTTGTCGTGGGCCTTTGGTCCAGTCGGGAAGTCTCTATCCGAGCCGAAGCCCCCTACAAATCATTACATCATGGATTTGTTGGTTGCCCATGCTGCCATCTTAAACCCGTTGTCCGTGCCTTTTTGTGACATGGAACAACCCCCCCAGCTGCATAGGTACAGCTGGTAGGCCTACTGATGTACACACTTTCCAGTTTTTGCCAATCCGGTGCTGGATGCATCAATCCCTTCCCTTGACAATCCCTTGCCCCTTGTTCGCCCGAGCTTCTGAGCTTCCATGGTCCTAAAATCGTGCTGCTTATGGTGTTGCTTTTTATATTCTTGTAACATATATATATATACACCTCTTGGGTGCCGCCTGCGATGGATGCCTAGCCCACGCGCGCCGCGTCGCGAACGCGCGCCGCTTGAGGCGATCCAAAGCGGCCAGGCGATCGAAGCAAAGGCGTGGGTTGTGGGTTGACCTTCGGAGTCAGAAACCTTAAGTAGCCCAAACATTCCCCCAAACCAGTTCCAAACCACTTGTGGCGCCTTCTTCTCCGGAGCAGCATATTTAGAAAGACTCTCTTGCTCTCTGGTGCTCATGGTCAAGTGACCCAGAACCGTGTTGAAGAAGCATTGTTCACCGGGACATTTTTTGGGGGATGTGGGGCCAGCCCAACCATGCAAGATTGGAACACGAGACACAAACGGAGGTTTTATCATGAACAAAGTCTCCTCGTGCATCCTTTGGACGTTCACGTTTCTCCTCCGGTGGACAACAAGGCCACTGCTCCGGCGGGCAAACTCTGCACGCGAACTGCCGTTTCTGGCATTTTAACCAGAACATGCATGTTCTATTGTAAATGAGTGAAACTTAGAACTATTCGGGGGAACTCGCAGTGTCCTGTTTGGTTATTCTAAGTTGTGGTTTTCGATCATTTTGTTTTCATCTTTCAGGTTCTAAGTCTTGCTATATAAACATTCATGCTAATTCACTAAACGTGTGTGTGTAACCCTTGGAGTCACAGGGATCCTTTTGGATTGGTTTGTTTTTGTCCTTGTTTTTATCAAGCAGGGGCACACGGCATCCATGACCTACCATGTGCAACGAAGCTACGGTCATGGATGGGAAGGGAAGGCTGATCACCTCCCTGTACCTGCTTTGGTGTGATGTTCTCAAGCTGTTACTCCAATCTTCCACAAAGGACTTGGGCCGCCGTCATTTCGACCCGCCCAGGCCCCCCCTCTTGCTTTTTCAGGACTTGGTGTCCTTAGGTAGCCGTGCGGCGAGCGGCACTCACATCAGTACGCATTTCTATAAGTGCGTGTGTATGTGTTTTTTCTTGATTGGTCGTCCAGTTTTAATAATTGGGCACCGAAAAGGGCCAGCGAGAGTCTCCTAAAATGGCGCCTCTGAAGCCCAACCAGGGGCGGGGGGTTCATGTATGCACTTTGAAGTGATCAATGGCCCAACTGTCTCCTTCACGACGCGGTTTTCTGTGACTCCCACGGCCTTCCTCCCACGGCCGTGCTGGTCGGCGTGTGGGCTTCTGGGATCTGAAGAAATGTCGCCGGTCACAGGAGGATTGAGAGGTCTTCCACCAAGAGATGGGGCTGGAAAGCAGCCTAGCGACCAAATACCCACGAGTGTCACTTGATGGAACCCTGTTGGATTTCCAAGTGACCTCATTCGACACCAAATCGGAAAGAAGTCCTCAACTTGCGCTCCCTGACAGCAGGTGCCCCCGTAGGATGCGGATCTTTGATTCTTGCTTCTTCGACGATTTTCCTGGCGGTGCTATTCAGCCACATCATATTCCATCCATTTGACTGGCTGAGCTTGCAGGCCGACCTCACCTCTGACCAGAGGCAGCGAGCGCTTGATCCGTGCGTGTGGTCAGTGTGAGCGGGCTTGTAGAAAGAGAGGGGCCCGCCCTGGTGAGAACGAGGTGGCCTGATGGGTTTGGGGAGTGTGTTGCACTTGGGAGAACAGTGCTGCCTGGATGATGCTAGAACAGTGAGAGTGAAGGAAAACCAGAGCGTGGTTTCATGGCATACCTTTGTCATACTTTGTCACTTCCGGGCTTCCGGGCCATCCATCCCACCACCGCCAGTCCCTTGCAAAGAAAGCACCGCCAAAACAACAAATAGCTTCCTTTTCTTAGTTGGTACCGCGGCATGGGATTGGCATGGCATAGCCATTGCTCGAATCCGCTGAGCTTCTGAAACACCTCCAGCCGCCTGCAGGGAGGAACTCCACTGCCGGGAGACCGAATGATTGGAGTCTTCTGGGCTTAGATTTAGAGAGGTTTTTGATTTGCCAGGCGCTCCTGACACCCATGGATGGGCTCAAGAGTTAGCAGCCTAGCTGCATAGCCACATAGCCAGAGCATTTTGAACAGACGATGAACTCTTTCATGGGCATACTGCCAGTTTCTTTGTGGCAGTTTTAGTCGGGCAGTGCTCAGAAGCATTCAGAGCCAAAAGCACTATCAGAGGCCCAAAGGTCATCGAAATGGTCAATGCTTGCGAGGCAGGGTGCGCCAAGAAGCGAAAGAAGCAGCTTCATAGGCCTCCCAAGGCCCAAGGTTTCATGGGTTTCCCACTTCGTGAAAAGCTCTGGACATCATGCCATTCTGGAGAATGAATACCCTCCCGTGTCAGGAGAAGATGCAAGAGCTTCGGCAGGCACGGACGGAAACTAACCCTCCCGAAGGACATGTTGGGACCCTGAATGAAGCCACAAAGTGCCACAGGATTCCCACAAAAGGTATCGATTGATCACTGAGGGGACGGATTCGTTTCCTTTTGGGCAGCACCTGCGGACGGTGCTCCCGACCAAACACTCTGGTGGATTCCTCCCCGGCTCAGCCTTTGCGTTTGTTGAACTATGTTTGGAAATTTGGAGTTAATTTCCTCTCCAGGTGTTTGCTGGCCTCAGCAATTTCAACCTCTACCCCAACCCCTTGGCCGATTGCTTTGGTGCCCTGAGGAGATGAGTGATCATGCCGACTTTTGCAAGAATCAGTTCATCTCAGCCACTTGCTCAGCATCCACTATAACTTGATAGGCGTCATTCGAGGTGCTCATGGATTTCGACTCCTTGAAAGGCCACAGAACAGGGCGCCATGTTCCTCTCCACCTGTTTGGTTACCTTATGCTTCTATTGTTTTCTTTTTCCAGCTTCATTGGTCGAAGGTCAGACGGGAGATTGAGACGATGTGCAAGGTGGGATTTCGGGGTACTCGGTGTGGTCACAGACACGGAGCGCGATGCCACGGGCCGGTCTCGTCGTCAGTGTTCTGGCAAGATCCTCCAGCCTGTGACCGATGAATTTGAGAGGTGCGCGCGAGCGTGTGTGTTCTTTATCTTTTTGAGGGGGCTCATGCCAGCTATAACGACCCTAGTGATCTTGCGTTTTTTGCTTAAAACAACAACTTTCTCCCCAGTTCCAGTTAAGTGGCCATCCGAATTCATGTGCATATTTTCCCACGCAATGCCTTGATCGCAAGTGGCAAAAGTCTGAAGAAGAACATCCCCCAAGAACTTGCTTCCCAGACCAATGCTGGCCTCGACAGCAAGATTAGGGAATACTTGGTGTGGCGCGCGAAGACGCGCGACCACTTTGAACGAACTTGGGCGCCCGCATGGCCGGTAGCACCTTTCGTTGAAAGATTCCCCGGTTCGGCAACCCGTTTCCCATCTGACAATCCCACTGCAACTGGGACGAGCACGCCACTTGAGCTGCCAGACAGCCGAAATGCTGTAAGGGTTGGCGAAACGTCCGTCGCACCTGTGGACCTTGGAAGAAAGTGCACGTCTCGCGCGGGTCGTTGCAGGCGACGTGACCTTGCTTGTCGCTCCGGGAGAAGGATCACCTTTTCAGTAGATTGATTGCGGATCCCCGATGAGCATTCCATGAAAGCCAGGAGGGCACTCCCGCACGGTGCTCCAAAGAAAGCAGGGTTTGACCGATCTAGAAAAACCACCCAAAAGCACCGGCTCAGACCATGGATGCGCAAGCGGACACCTGGCGCAGCCAGGTGGGGTCCAGGGGGGTCCACACAGCCGATGGGTTCATTGGGCCTTCGTTCGTGGAGAGTTGGGGAGACCTGTTTTGTTTTTTTTAAACAGCACACACTCACATGAGGTCACATGGAACTAGTTCATAGATGCCCTTGTTGACTGTACCTCAGCTTTTCCACGTTCGTGTTCAGTCGCCTGGTGGCCATGGAGCGTTCATGCATTCAACTTTTTGGGATGTTGCACGGTGTCCTGCACTGCCAGTGGAGACAAGTGGGCAAGGATTCGTGTCCAAGACGGATTCGTCGACCAGCAGAAGGGTTCCGTTTCGAACCGAACATGTCTGGTTCGACTGCACTTGGGGAAAGACGCGCGAACCAATTCGTTTCAAGAAGCAGTTGGATGAGGATGTGGTCTAAGATAGCAAACGCTCACAGGATTTGTCATTGTCTATTGCCTTTCTTTCTAATGTTTTCTAAGTCACACAGTTACATAGCTGTTTATGTCATCCAACTGCAGATCAACCAGAGGATCCGGGGAACTAATGGGCCGGTGCCGGTGCCACCGACGAGACCAGCCCGAGGCCCAGAAGGACATCGAGAACACCTGCCAGGTGTGTTCTGCCAGCGCGCGCAGGTCTCATGCCCAAGGCCTATTAGAAGCCCATCCCGAGTCCCTGCTCAATATGTTGGTTTTGTTGGCGTTCTGATCCCCAAGAGGGGCCTGTCACAGGGAAGGAGCGGGAAAGAGGGTTGACATCATTATATATATATATATAAACTATATAATAAAGTTCAAGTGTCATTCCTGCCAGGCACTTGCTTGGGAAAGCCAACCCTCAGATCTTACTTACTGCAACTAGTGGCAAATCACCACCGTAGCTTGTTTCTACTCTGCAGACCTCCATTTAACCCACCCCTCGGGTGCCAGGAGAATGTCCGTACCCTGAGTGGCAGCTATGCGGAGGCCCGCATGTTAGATTGGGTCTTTTATTCAAGCTGGCAGGGTGGGCCGGGGGTGACATTTCATCGGCTTGACTGGGGAAGAGCAGCCAGAGAAAGAAACTGGTCAGAATTCGGAAGTTCCTCCTGCATGTGCCTTTTGCCTGCAGCTCTGTCCGGGAACATTCATCGGACCACATCAACTCATAAGTCAGAAGGCAGGATGCAGCTTCACCCTCTTTTTGCCGCTCAAGGGTTGTGACGGCTGAGAGCTTAGCCGCTTAGCCAATGCCACGCATACAGGATTTCGCCATTTTGCTTTGGGGATGTAAAGTGGGACGGGAGCAAGGCAAACGGATGAGGATCCGGTTGGTCAGATCTTCGCTGGAGACAAGCACGCATCAAGAATGGGCAGGAGTTGTCAAAGAATTGCGTTCTGTTCCAGCTGGTTGGTTGGTGCACAGAAAGCAGTTTTGCAAACAGAAGTGGTCCAGCGTAGGAGTCCAGGCAGATGAAATACCGAGAATGCAAGATGTTTGGCGTTGGAACTGTGACAAGAGAACCATGGAGAAGGAGCTCCAAACAGCTCAGCTCATGGGGAGAAGGCGGAGTCTCAAATGCAATAAGTAATTAACTTCAAAGTAGATGGCAGGTTTGAACCTTGAAATCCTCAACTAACATGGATTTCAGTGGGCTTTCCTAGGTATAGGAAACGATTTAACACAGTAGAGGCCTTGACCAGCCCGGGCGGATGCCATGCCGATCCCAAGTCTGCCAAGTCTGCCGTCCAACTCGTCAGTGGTACCAGTCACTTGGGCTCGCTTGGGCTAGGTGGGTAGCAGGTAGCAGTTCTTTGGACCAAACCTTCAGCATTTCTAATTGTTATGTAAATTGAAAAGCAACTGGTTGTCAGTTTCACTGCAAACTGGTGTGGGTGCCACACTGGTGTGGCCAAGGACCTCCAGCTACTCGAGGCGCTTCGGGAGGAGACTATGTTGCTTTGGTCTTTGCTTGGCCTGTTTGTGCTTAGAAGCCTCAGCTGCCCTAGACTCGCCGCGTGCTTTAGCTACAGTGGCGAACATCCTGTCAGAAGGAAGGGTAAGAGTCACCGGTGCAACCTTGGTGATGGATCAATTGCCATGTCAGGCCGGTGAGGTCGAAGACCCCTCGCGTGTGAAATCTTCACGTGATCCCCATTGGCCTCCATGATGGTTCCACAGCGCCTCAAGGCGCTCACCACAAAATCACAACACAAAAATCTTATTGTGCCGGAGCCGTGGGTTCCAAATCTGCGCTGTACCGACACAGGCCGATACACGGTATTCCCTATCTCTGGGATTTTGGCATATTGGTGCCGCTCAGTCACAAACCCGCCATGCCGCCACGCAGGAGTTCCACTTCGAGCTCTCCAAAGTGGTGGCACGTTTGAACGCGGTCGAGGACCAGCTAAAAGCGTCTTGGCATCCGTTTGGGTACTCGAAAGGCTTGGGACGTCAAGTCAGTTGGGTAGAAGCGCTGCCTGGCAATCCCTCATGGAGATTGAGCTGTTTTTGGGATGATTTGAGGGGCCAAGGCAGCCAATAGGATTTGTCATTCGGTCGAGATACCACTGAGGCTGGAACAGACATCAAACCCGAGAAGACCTTGGGTGAGCCAGCTGACCCTTGGACACACCAAGTGCGTGGATTGAAGGCTCGGATGCGGTTGTGTGGCTGTGTGGGGCCGCCGCATCGGGGTCGAGGGTGGCCATGGGTGGGCTGGGCGCTCGGCAGGGTTTCTGGGTCGTGCTGGAACTGGCAGGATCATGGTGAGGTGACCGTTGTGATAGTGACACACCCGCACCCGCACGATAATCTCTCTCTCTCTCTCTTTATATATATATATATATATCCACTGTATATACATGTATAGTATAGACACACAATATATGTATGTATATATATATATATGCGCACACATATGCACATAGTACAGTAACCTTTTCTTTTTCTTTTTGCAGTGCTTTTCTCCTTTTTGCTCGGCTGCTGATGCTGTCGCCATGTTCACATCGCACTTCTATTCCAGCGAGTTTTTTTCTTCGATCTCTAGCCAAAGATGCCAAGGAGAGCAATGAGCCCGAGAATAACTTGGGAGAGAACAACTTGGGTGAGGTGGCACTTGTAGCCGACCCTTGGCACTTGGAAGAGTGTTGTGGTTACCTTTTTTTTCCATGTCGCCAGTGATTCTCCAAGTGTTCTGTGCACTAGACTCACTAGACTCTTCTTGGCCAGGAAAGCCCGAAGAAGGAGGCTGAGGTCAGCAAAAAGAGCATCTTTGAGAAGAGCTGGTGTGAGGAAGCTGAAGCTTGGACGAGTTTCAGGTGACCGGATGATCGTTGGATGTGATGGGATGCAGCCCTGTGATCCTGTGCAATGAGTGTGGCGGTTTGGCAACACATCTTGGACAAAGGTGTCGCTTAGGCTTGTCTCCATCATGCAGAGATGTTCAGCATCAATCAAATCTGGACATTTCAGCCTCCCATGTCGTCCTTATAGTGTTTTCAAACGGTCACCGGTCGAACCCGAGGCGGTCGTTGGCCTGGTGCATTTCAGCGAGAGTGCCTGGACCTACCCCGTGGTGATTGGCTTGGTGGATGTGGGCCTTTGGGATGTGATCTTCTCGATCCTGCTGATGCTGCTGAACCTGGGCCGCTCGACAACCGCGGTTCACGGGGACCGCCGGGGTCTGCACCCGCAACAAAACTTGGGATGTCCTGGTGACAGTCATAGTGACCAAAGAAAACACATCCAAACCAGATACAGTATATGACATAACTTAATCTTAGCTTGTATATGATATTTGACTCTTAGGTCCGGTCTCAAATAGACTCGACAATAGAATGATCCCATTGGATGGACTGCATTCCTGCCATTTGCAGGGTCGATGGGTTCTTGCAGTGGCTAGATCAGCATTTTTGGAAGAGGTGGTGATAGTGGAGGTTGGCACCAGGTGGAAGACCACTAGCTCAAAGCGAGGCTCACCACCAGCCCAGTACACTCTGACTCACTGACGTGGAAGTGGATGGCATGGTTCCCTGGAAGACTGCTTTCTAGTAGCATTCTTGCTACTACTAGTATGGCCAGGAGCCCCTAGTAGCTTCTTGTTACTACTAGTAAGGCACTTGTTACTAGAAGCGATGCACTTGTTACTAGATAACAGGGGGATTTCCACTTCCATGTTATATAGTGAGACAGAAATTTCTGTTGACATGTTTTTGTTTTGGTTGCCATTCAAGCGCCAGCCAAAAATCGTTGCTGTCCCAACCAAGGCATGCAAGCAGGCTTTTCCTACATCATCCTGGGTGACTTGATGGCAAGATGTATAGAAGAATGCTGTTGGCCGACATTCTAAAAAGAACATCTTTCCTCCTTGCAGTGGTCAGATATTCTTAAAAGATCCAAGCACTTTTCGCCTTGCTGGTGGGCGAAATGCAGGTCGCGGTTGCAGTGGTAGCAATATGCAACAAACACTGGTCCCATCGCTGACCGCCAGGTGAAGGCTTCATGGGTTCGGAGTTTGCCTTGCAGTTGGACTTCGCGAGGTGTCCAAGTCGGTGGAAGCCGTCCACTCGGACGATGGCCAGACTCGTGGAGTGGGACGACGGACTCCATTGACACGGACGCGGACTAACACCACCTGCTTTGTTTGGATTGACGCATGAATCTGCTGCGCGAGGCGTTGGCGCAGCAGCTTTGCACATGATCACAAGTCTCCTGGCTTCAACTGCTGGAGCTTACGAGGAGGATCCCTCAGTTCGGCTGTGCTGCAACGCTGCAACCAACTGAACATGCACGAAGAAGAATTCCTTTTCCCTTCCATTTCCACCGCCCATTGGTCTGAGTTCTTTCTGAGTTCACTACGGTTGGTCTCAGTTCACGGCGGTGGGTAGCGAAAAAACGGTTCCAGAAGATCTCAGGGACACTACCAATTTGGAGAGTTCGTTTCGTTGAAGGATAGAGTTGAGTCCTTGGATTGGAAAGGAAAAGTGCTGGAGAAATCTTGCCTTCCCATGTTTCCTTATAGAAGCACGAAATAGCGCGAAGATCTTGCAACAATAGGCCTCCCAAAAGGGCCCATCTCAGCCACCGACGTTAGTCTTCACCGAGGGTAGTACCAAGGGTTTATCTTTGTGAAAGTTCTGAAAAGAGTTTGAAAAGACAACCTTTCGACTTCAATTTCAGAATCCTTGATGAGAAATGACCATGTCTTACCACCCTTATATTAGTGTGGCACTGGAAGGCACCTCGTTGAACAAAAATCGCTGAGAAAACATGTCATCGTCCGAGTCCACATCGCTAGGTATTTGGACTTGACGTCCAGAAGTTTGGTGTCTCGGGTTTGCTGGGGTGACGGCTCCTTGATCCTGGCCACCTCTCAGGCTGGTCGATCGCTCAATGGTCGCCACGCGTCGTTTGGGTCGCGCGGTGGAGGTGGAGCGAATGGTTTCGGTCGTTTCAAGCCGGTGGGGCCTGGGTCGGTCTAGTTGACTTCACTTTAGGAACCTTTAGGATGGGTCACGAAGCAGGTGTTTTTGGAGATAGTGCCGGCCGCTCTGACCGCTCTGAGTGGGTGGCTGGTTCACGTCGAAGTCGGTGCAGGCGACTTTGGTCGACCAGATTAACAGCTATTTGACCTTGGACTACGATCAATTTGAGTTGGGCTATTTCCAAGATGGCAAGCTGCTTTGTATGCTTTGCATCCTTCTCTGGGCCCTCTGCGTTTACAAGGACGCAATGTTCAACCAGCACGTTCTTCAACAAAGCAACGATTGCAGGTTTACACACTGATACAAACATAATGCACTCGATTGAGCAGAAGTATTGGAAGTCCATCGTAGGCAACCGAGGCAGTCAAAGCCTAAGAGCAGCCACAAGAGGTTTATGTAGTCATTATTTGCTGTGGACGGACATGCTTAGTGGGCTGAAGGGCTGAGGGGCTGAGGGGCGTGGCCATGCTCTGTGATGAGGAGTTCAGGAACATCTGGTTGACGTTGGAGTGCCTCTTCCATCTTCCCAGGACATGCCGCACGAAGCTTCGCAACAACATCCTGCAGAGTTCCTTGCTGAAAGACATTATTGTCCTTTGATTCGGTTCCGTGGGAGGCCCCTCAAAGACAAGGCTTCAATGTCACTTCAGCAGCGCCTCTTCGAGGTCTTTTGACTCTTTGACCTAGGCCTCTCCAAAGGACGCTTCAAACTGCTGGTGGTCAACTGCATTACCCGCTTCACAATTGCAGCAGTGACTTGGCTGGGAGGCAAGTTCTTGCACCCCGTTCTAGGCCCCGGCAATTTCCCCTGCTGTCCTGTCCGTCTCTTTTTTGAGGTGCTGCTCTATGCTGGCGTCCAATGGCTTGCACGCACCACGTCAATTACGGATGCTTGGGCACTAATTAGTTGGTGACGAGTCCTGGCGTTATTGGCTTCTTTCTGAAGGGCAATCCTCTTTCCTTCAAGTTGGCGCACCCCCCTAACTGGAGCCACAGAAGCTTGCTTTTTCTTCTTGCGGAGAAATGAGCTTGAAACGACTCCCGTCATAGTGGCATATGGCAACTGCGGATGAAAATCACCTGAGGAGCTGATGCTGAACTGTGTGGCGCTCAATGCGATTCTCGACGTCGATGAGCCCCTTGGAATAGCTTGAGAGTGATTGGCTCGGCTTCCTTAAGGCCCGAGGGAAGGATGGGGAAGGAGGAGCCGTGCCAATGGCTCGCATTTGGTACTCACCACTTGCACAAGCATACAAAAGACACCCAAGGTACTCCCCCTCACATCTGAGTGTGGACATTTCCCCGGTCGAGGTTCCTCTTCGAGGGCTTCACTCCGCTCTCCGTGCACTTGGCCATCCAGCGGCTGGAGCCCATGACAGTGAAACACACCCGCCGGAGAAGCCAGCTGGCGCCTCGTTGCAGCTATTTCAGTCTTGTTTTCTTTGTATGCAGACGGGACATGAAGGGACAGTAGGCTCAGTAGACTAGAAGAGAGGGATCAAAGGCTGAGGGGCAACTGATGTTTGGGGCTCCTGTTTGCCTGTTTGCCTTTCTCATCCTTGATCAACCCTTTGGGCTAGCGGGTTGCTGTTTGCTTGGAACTTTGCTTTGTGCAAAAGGGCTCACAGAATGCCGAAATACGTCCCAAAACCTACCCTCCAACAAACCGTGGACCAAGCAGTGCTTCTCACGGCCATCCTCCAGTCCTTCTTACTTTTTGTGTTATATATTTTCGTTGCTGTCGGAGTTGATGTTTTCTGCTAAAGGGAGCTCTGTTGGTACGGACCCTGAGGAGTCTCTGGCGCTCTTCCTCGTACTGGTTGCCACGATCATTGTCCCATATTGTGCCCTTCTGGAGCCGTTGGGGCAGACGATGCTGGAGGTGAAGTCCATCCTATGTGATGGAAACCAGCAATTCGTGGTGGGCTTGCACCTTGACCTGCCTGGGTTTTATTCGATTTCAATCGATTTCGGTTATTTCAAACTTGCGAATCGGATAGATCCAGACGCATTGGCGTCACAAAACCGCTGTGCAGTCAGAGTCAGTCTGGGGGCCATCGTCTAAAATCTCCAGGCGGCCAAGATGCATGAGACATTCAAGGGCATTCTTTCAACAGGATCACATTCCTGCAATATAAGACTAGACTATAGACTATGAGGCTTTTTAAGGCAGGACAAGAGGGAGGATTTCGTGAAAAGTTAGGGCATGGAAGTTTTGAGAAGAAACGTTATTTTGGTGGTATCAACTGAAGTCGAAGCCACGATGCTCTAGGAACAGCAACACCGGTTGCTGGCTTTGACACTTGGCGAAGAAGTGTCCGCCCCGTCGCTCAACATCTGGACTGCTTCAGCAAGTAACCAACGGATGGTGGTCCAGAATCAACGGGGTGGACTGCAGAAGCTTTGAGGATTTTTGAGTGAAGCTGTGCAATCTTTGTGTCCCGTGGCCAAGGCACATACTACCTCTTGAGGTTGGGGCTATAGTGTTGGCCGTCTTCGACTCCCTGATAGATATTCATTCTCTTATATAAGTGCCCCGCAACAGGGTCGATTGAAATACTGTACAATGTAGGAGCTTGTGGCTTGTGATAGTATATTCCGTCACAAGGTACTGTAGGCATTGTCAGAGGACATATTTCACCATCCCAGGGTAGAATGAGAACCCAAACAGTGTCAGTCTCAGTACTAATTCATTTTCTATCCAGTGCCAGTGCAGTGCAGATTTGTCCAAAAGACTCGATTGGAGCGCTTTCCAACCTACTGTAGGTCCTAGGTTGTAAACCACTTGCTGTGCGTGCTGGCTGATCCTAACCACGGTCGCTTAGGACACCAACAATGCCTCCCTGGAGGAGAACATCACCAGCATCCAGGAGCTGGCAGTGCGGTGGCATCTCCCCACCACACAGCGAGGACCAATCTCATGGGCAGCAACGGTCACGGAAACGTTGTACCCACGAAGCCCGTGGTGCTCCCTATCTTTAGAGTACGTAAATCTTTGTCACTGGCCAGTGCCTCAAGCCTACACGAGTATGTAGAACTACCCTTCACCTATCCTAGAGGAAACCGGAGTTATCATAAGGAGTGAGCTTCGGATTTGTGGGTGGTTTTCGGGAAGCGTCAGGGCCCCAGGAGCCCTGCCTTTTGATGCAACAGCTCTATCCCGTAGTTTCCCTTCTTTTGGCATTCGACGGGTGAGGTGGGGGTTGCTCTCAGTGAATCCTGAATAAGGACTGAATCTGGGTTCATTCCTGTCAGGGAACTTCAGGAAGGTTGCAGATGCTTGATACATCAGATAAGGCTGGGTGGGTTAGTTGCGGATTGGAGGACTTCCCGGACATTACATCGTCTTCACCCGAGATCAGGATCAGTTCGATGCTGTCAGACTCGCTGGCTGCAAGGGCGGACGTCTCGTTGTTTCCAAAGATGACCTGCCAAGAAATTGTGCACTGTGCAGGCTTGTTTGGTTCAAGAGATCGCTCTGGGATTTTGGACGGCACGTGTGCTCCCCCACTGGGCATGCTCCGCCTGCCTCCACGTCGCGTGCCGAGGAACCCGTACCATGGAGGAGGAGGCTGGCTGGATCAGATTCTGCATGGAGACGGAACATCTAACTCCAGGCCACCTGGGCTACCACACAAAACTGGGTCGTTTCGGTTCTATGACTTGGATCTGGCCCCACAGATGTCAATGTGATTATATACAGACATTATTATATAAACAGCTGGAGACACTCGGTGTGATGTGAGTCCCTGTCATGCTGATTCATGATCTGGTTCCACTGCGCACTATGCAAACACTTCCTGGATGAGCCAGAAAGATCGAATTTAGATAACTTTTGGACATCCGAAGTGATATCGTTTATGCATGGTCTAGTCTATATGCAATTCATCCCAGTGTATTTTTCAGGTGTCCAGTGTTTTTTCTTGCTCCATCCATCTCTCGATTCTCCAGGTGCATCCCTCTATGGGGATCCCATTCTCCACAACTACGTGTCCAACCCACGGCTGCGCTTGGCTGCGGCCGAATTGGGCCGCTACGAGGTGGAGAGCTGTGACGCTTGGCCTGCGATGCTTCAGCCGGGGGGGTTGTGGTGGGAGGCAATGCGAGTGGGTCTCAAAGACAAGTCCTCGAAGTCCTCAAAGCATTGGCAATTCTGATGGTGCTGTCGATTTTCCCCATCGCGCCGTCTCGTCGTGAACCCTTATTGGGGGCTGCCATGAATCTGAATCATGAAGCCGACCCACGGGGGGCTGTAGAGCTTGCCTCCGCCCTTGAGGAAAGAGACATTAACACCAAGAACAGCAGTCTTGAAACAGCTTGAAGCTACCATCATTGGCGTTCTGAAGACTCTGTGTAGTGCTGCATCTTTTACGCCAGCCCGTCCGTAGACACCAATGCCAAAAGTAGCTGCTGGTTGGATTGTCAGAAGGCCCGGTGAGCTGCGAGTGACCTGTAGCCCATTAGAAAGCGTCTACTATAGTAGAAGTTGAGGGATCAGATTTGCTGGTTGGCATGAGAGCTGGCATGAGCTGGCTAAAGGTGATGGTCCTCCGCATTGAGTTTTGATGCCATACTGCAACCGTCAAGACTCATAAACCAATTTTTGGGACTCTGATTCTCCACGCTGGTCCTTTTGTATACCTGTTCAGGAGAATGTCAGCGACCTTTGCGATCGGCCAGATGCTGGCCTGCTGCGCATCGTGTGTGGCAGGACCTGTGGATGCGTCTGGGACCTTTGGGCATTTCCTGAGCTCTAGGAGCCCCTAATAGCTTTTTGTTCCTTATAGCTACTTGCTCCTAGCAGTATGGCCAGGAGCCCCTAGTAGCGCCCTTGCTCTTAGTAGCGATGCCAGGAGCCTCGAATAGCTTCTTCTTCCGTTCGACAATAGTTACAGTTATATATATATAAGGTAAGTTGGGGGTGTCCTACTACCTGCAACAGTCGGTAGACAATTTTCACTTTAGAGAAAGGCCATTACTAATCATCACCATCTATACCCAAAAGATAAGTACAGTATCGATCTCCTCTTTGACGGAGCTTCGCTAGTGCCACGCTTTCTGCACCTGTCCACTTCCATTGAAACAGCCTAGAGCTTGAGGGACCTTTCCTGTGTCTGGCTGTTTCGGCACTCAGGCACCGATCCACACTCCAAGGTGTGGTTTAAAGTCCCAGCCCTGGGCTGTAGCGAGGCTCGGCCCAACGAGACGTGGCGATGTGTGGGTCTGGTGCGATCACGGAGTGTCCTTCATCGAACGCGTGAGAGGATCTAGATGTTTCATGCATGTTTCATTCCCTACTGTGTTTTTTTGTTTTGTTTTCCTGTCTCTACTCCTTCCGCCTTCTTCTCCACTCCTCCTCCTCCTCCTCTTCGTCATCTCACACAACTCATCTCTCACGCAACTCGTCATCTCACAAACTCATTTCTCTCCCCGTCTTTTTTTTTTTTTCTCTCTCTCTCTCTCTGTCTGCGCGACGCCCTCGGAGGGGCCATGCCTTGTTTCAGCCTCATTGCGTGCCCTTCCAATGACATCCATAGCTACCAGGGCAACCAACACCTTGACATAACATAGATAACATAGTGCAAGTGGTAAGAGAGTTCAACTCGCTATGAACTATTCTTGACTCGATCGACTCGATCCGTTGACGGATGGCTTTTGTTGAGCCGAGGAGTTCTGCTTGCAAATGGCCGAGGATGCCTTGAAGGCCTCTGAAATTTGCCAAGATGTAGCACCAGACTCCAGGTGGTCTGAGCCTCTTGGAATGCCGAGGGGCGGGATGAAGGGGCGGAGGAGCGTCACCAGTCGAAGCGTTGTCAGTTTCCTGGTCCGAGCTCTTCGGGGCGAGAGCCCGAGGCTTTGGGATGCCTACATCCCGGCGCTGAGTTACAAGCTGGGCACCGTTGCCTGGTGCCAGTTTGGGGTGATAGGTGGACAGTGGACACGAGCTCCAGCAGTGCATCTCAAAGAGATCTCATGAGGTTGGGAGGGGGTTCACAGTCCCATCAGGGTGCTCAGAAGGGGCTGGACTGAAGTTGATGTATCGTTCAAAGCATTGACCATCCACCACCGCGGAAAAGAACCATTCACAACCTACTGCATGACCACCCACCCCCGTAAACAATGTCCAACCATCCTCAAAAGGTCTCATGGCAAATTGGCAAATAGCACTAACAATAGCTCAACAAGTTGTTAGAAACAAGCGCTTACATTGCCAGTCGTGCAATTTGCCGATCTACTGAACACCCACATGCTTCTGCGACCTTAACACAAATCTATCGCTTCCAACTTCCTCAATGTTATATTGAGGACCGGAGGTCACCTTCGAGATTTCAGATTTCGTGTGTTGTGGCCTGGCCGCGCACCGTGAAGCGTAAAAGGTGTTCTTCAAGTCACAGAGATTGATGTCTCTCGCCTGCAAGGACGTCACGGCCTCCACGACCTTCTTCCGCGACATCCAGAATCAGATGCTTGGCTGAAATGTGACGCGCATTTCAGACCCGAAGGGAGTGAAGGCCTCCAGTGATTCCCAGTAGCATTCTTGGCGAAACACCGGCATGTTGAAAAATGGACGTAGCCCTTGAGCCATCCTCCTTCCAAATGCTGTACCAAAATTCAGAATCTGAGATGCCTCTGTCAAGAGTCTTTGCAAACCGCATCTTCCACTCCCAGGATCGCTGCAATGAAGGGTCTGGGCTGCAGTGCACTTCTACATCCGGAGCTTAACAAGGAGGTCCGAATTGGGACAGTGACGGTGAGGTCCAGTCTGAGTGGTTCAGTGGTTCCCTGATGCTTAGAATTGCATTGCTGGGGGACACTTGTGGCAAAATTGCTGATTAACCTAGGTGATCCTAGGAGGACAGTTCAAAGCTTGCCTGGGAACCGAAACCAAACTCGTTTAGCGCACTTCTTTGAGTAAGCTGAGATTTGAGTAAGCGCATTTGGCCAACTTTTGGTTTTGAGCACGCTTCTTCGGCTTGTGTGCCGGCTGAGAAAGCAATACACCACCTGAACATCTCAGCAAGAGGATAGAACAACAGAAGACCTGAACATCACGCAGAAAACATAAATTCCATGTCTCCATCTCTATCTACCTCGACCAACCAAATCTCGTCTACACCGAGATCTATTTACTGTATAATTGACTTCCATCTCATGAAGCGGTCCGATTCTCGATTGCTCCAGAGCTTTTTGGGGTTCAAGCTGCAGATGGTTGTGCCCTGGTGGTTGCCGGACCTCTTTCGAGAAGTCCGTTTCCTGTTCACTGCTCCTACCACTTGCCCTTGGGGTGCCATTGGACTTTTTCTGATCGTCTTGTGCTGTTGCTCTTGCCTGGCTGGAATCTGCATTGGGGCATTTGCATTTTCGGTTCAGTGTCGAAAGTTTGCATCTGGGTTGGTGCGGTTGGCATTTGTACTTTTTCACCAGTCACTGCAGATATCAGTGGCCCTCGAGATCGCTTGGCTGAGTACCGGAGATCCTGTTGATGCAAATCAGGTCAACTCTCAGCCCAGAGGTGGAATCCATCACAGTGCAATTGGCAGGGCTTGACATTACCATCAGTGTCCGGCCATCTCAGACTGCTTCAGGATACTCATCATCAGCAGTTGTCTCCGCAGTTGTTGAGGAACGTTCTGACTCACCAGATTTCTCGGATCCGAATCTCATCACCGTAGCCCTTGAGGAACGAGCTTTGGCGGCTGAGACAGCTGCTCAGTTAGCTGCTTTGCCACTGCCCTTTCTGGCAGACCACGCGGCGTGCTATCTCTCCGGGGCTCGGAGGAGATGGCCAGCTCAGGCCTGAGTGGCGCCCTCTCAGAGAGGGCGATCCGAGACCTGGCATCCCAGGTCCCAGCCGGCTGTGTTTTTACAAAGGGAAGAGTCAGACAGTTCTCCCCCAGTTTTGGTTCAATGTTTGGTGGTCCGGGTGGGCTCATGCTGGCATTACCTCAGGCTGCAACATCAGCCGCCGAGCCCATTTTCCATTCCGGAGAGGCTCGTTTCGAAACCGCACGTGGCAGGCGGGATGGAAATTTGACTATCGAACTGGTAGATTTGCCTTGGGAGTTCGCTTCGGCCTTGGTCACCATCGGCCGACTTTCTTCTACGCAGAAAAGCCAGCTGGTAGGTTTCCTGTCGAGCACTGGCGTTTTGGGTCGACCCGTCAAAGCATCAGTCATCGAGTTAGCCCAAGAGTGGTTAGATATCATGGGGCCCCTGACAGCTCAGGACTATTTCACAGGAGAAGAGGCCGGGTCGCAGTATGCTCCGAGCACACCAGAGCTCAGGCCGGCCGATCCCTGTCAAGCTGCATCGGAAGTGGATTCGCTCAAAGCTCGCATTGCAGAGCTCGAGAGTATGCAGTCCATTCAGGCTCTGCCACAGGGCCAGCTGTTGGCGTCCCCGGGTCAAGCGCTCCTGTTGAGGCAAGTGGATCTCCAGCGGGAGGCGGCCGAGGAGGAGCAAGATGCAGTGGATCCAGTGGACTTGGAAGCTCTGCTAGGCGACCTCAGATCCTCTCCAAAAAAATGTTGATGGTCCAGATGCAACAAAATCAGGTGCTCTTGCAGAAGCTGGTGGGAAACAAGTCCTCAGACCCAGTTTTGGGTGCCCTTCAGGGAGGCGGCTTGGACAGCGGCTCAGGATCAAGCTCAGGAGTGAAGGGCTGCATGGCCCGAGAAGCCTTCCTTCGTGCAGTAGCCTCTTGCCAAAGCTGAGCCAGGCTCTCGTGTGGTGGCCTTGCTAGTCGAGTCACCATTGGGGCATCGGCGAAAGGTAGGTCCAGTAGCTATGCCATTTGCAGAGTTCTGCAAGGCACTATTCCCTATGTCATTGGCAGTGGTTTGTACTTAGGATCTCTGCAATGCTATTCAGCTGATAATCGCGCAGATGATCCTTCCAGGGACCATCCGGTCCGCCCGCCATCTAAGGAGTTGCGCAGATGGTTCGTTGATTTGAAAGCAGGTTCCACTTGGCGTTTTGACCAAGTCGTGGCATCCAGTGGCATTCCCAAGTTGGCCGCCAGGTGGCTCAGATTCCTTTTGTTGCTTGGTGGCGACATTGAGCCTGAAAAGGTTTTTCCAACTTCAAAGCGTGTAGGTCGTGGAAAACTTGACCTTGATGTCCAAGTGCACTGACGGCTTTCGCGCTTGGCTGGAAATTGAAGTAGGGATTTCATGGGACGCTTTGGTCTCTGATCCGCAGGCCACTTGTCTGGCCTTGAGAGGTTACGGACTTTATTGCTTTGAAACTGGATTGCCGCGTTACCTTTTTGTGTATGCGATCACAGGGATGCAGGATGTATATCCGTTGACACGCAACTTTATGACATTGGCGTGGCAAGTCGACAAGAAATGGCAGGTGTACGAGCCGGGCGTGTGCTGGTCGGTGCTGCCACCCATGATCATACGTGCTGCAGTTTGCCTCGCTTGCCTATGGTCTTGGCCAGCATGGGCTGCTATCGTCTTGCTGGGTTTTGGTGCCACGCTGCATCCATCAGAGATGATGGCTTTGGAACGACGAGATTAGATTTTTCCTTCGGACGTGTTTCACGACACTCAGAGTTTGTTTGTGCGCATCAGAGATCCGAAGACCGCGCGTTTTGCGCGAAGGCAGCATGGCCGTATAGATGATGAATCTATCATTTGGGTGGCGCAACAAGTTTTTGGTTCTTTGTCTCCGGATACTAAGCTTTTTCCTGGCTCAATCAATGTTTTTCCAAAGCAGTGGAATTGCATTATGCAGCATCTGGGAGTACCACACTCACAAGCAGGCAGGGGTGCGACCCCCGGAGTCTTACGGCGCCACACATCTGTACTGTGCTTCAGAAGACTTGAGCTGGTCGCTTGGCGCGGCAGATGGGCGCGAGTTAGAACTCTAGAGTACTACCTACAAGAAGTGGGCGCCTTTGTGATGGTACATAGCTTGAAACCAAGTTCAAAAGACAAGATCCAGAAGTTGTCTGCTGCCGCCTGGAGTGTGCAGTGTCATGTCTTAGCCTCTACGGGGTAGCAAATAAGAAGCGGAAAAGAATTTTGGACTTCTGATATCTTCCTATGTGAGCTGGCTTTTCATTTGAGACATCTTGAATCGACCGGGCGTTTTCATCAGGGAGTTTGACATCCAGCTTTGAGTGTCTCCTTCCAAAAGAAAATCTGAGCACACTCCAGGGAGCCTTCGAGTCTGCAAGCGGAAAAGATATACATATATATATATATTTCAAAAAACATCTCTATCTACAGCATATTGTTATGCGCATCCATTTATATTTTATCTCTTGGTGTGTGTTTCTGTGGGTGTGTGTGTGTCTCTTTCTCTCTATCTATTTTTCCATCGTCTTCTTGCTGTTTCCTTTATCATGCAGACTTGGAGAAACTCACGGCCTAACCCAAGCTCCTTCTTGGAGCTGGTTCTTTTTTTGCCTTCCCCTGCGCAGTACACCAGCCAGAGATTCTGGTGTGAGGGCGACCCGGAGCTTTTCCGGGCCTTTGGGTACTATTGTCCCGTGAGCTGTGGATGCCGCTCGGGCACTCCACCGAAGTATTGCCCCCGCAGCTGTGCAGTGAATAGGACTGACAACAGCACTGGTGGCTCTGGTTGAACCACGTTCGACTGTGTCCCAGGTGCAAAGCAACTTGGGCAGATCCGCCAAAGGGCAAAAACTGCATGCTGGTTGGCTGCTTTGGTGGGCCACCAGGGTTACCAACAGGGGTTCAAGGGGCATAGGGAGCGCCAGAACAAACCAGGTGGAGAATAGAAGCGCCCCAAGCATCTTCTTTGGATTGCGGGGGCAATGGTTGCAGCAGGACATGGTTGCGAGAGGTCCGGGAGCCGCAAACAATTAACTTGAGGCGCTGGATGAAAACTCTCCACTGTGGTAAGCATATGTAAACATGAAAAGAAGGGGTGTTTGCTTACGTACCGTTCTGTTTTTGATGACTCTTAATACCAGTCCACCCATGTGTGCCAGTTGGAGCGAAGCCGAAGCCTTGAGCCAAAGGGCCTAGTGAAGAGTAAGCCATGCCGCCACGCTCTTCAGCTTTGCACTCAATGCGCTAAAGAATCAGGAAGCACATAAGCCATGCGCGCACTTTTCTTGATATGTATTCTGTATTCACGCTTATATACGTGCACCATTAGGTGCACCATCAGTTATGAACCTCCTTATGCTGAGGGCGATTTCCATTGTCCCATCCTTGCAGTGAAAGAGTCGCTTGTGCGGAACTGAGGACAGGAAAAACATACTTCCCTGTTGAAGGTAAACTGTGGGAGACGAGACTTTGAGCCCTTTTGACTCATGACTCACCCACATACCGTCACCAACTTGACACGTCGGACGCCGAAAGCACACCGAAACGGATGCCATGCCTACCCCAAGTGCTTTGCGCATTGCCTTGGCCTCTCAGCTGCATGCCGCAGCTGAACCCAACAGCCTCACCAAAGAGCAGTTAGAGAGCAGAGAGCATAGAGAGCCAATGTTTCAGGCTTGGCATGTCCACATCCTGGCACAGCTCGTGCATGCCACGGAGCCAAGGAAGAGCCCCATGGCCTCCCCGATGCGGAGGCCTTGACCCGCGCGGAACTGGAGTGGTTGCGTCGTGAGTTCCAAGTGGAAGTGGAGCTGCTCAGCAGCAGATCGCCGTTGGTGGGCCATTGGTGGTGGTTGGTACTGGGATGTGCTGGGAGAGGCTTGCTAAATAGCTAGAGGACGTTAGAAGCAACTAGAATGCTTAGTGCAGCAACTTGAGCCAATATAGATGTCAATCACCCTTGATCACCTGTGACCCCACCCAGGTCCCATTTCCTTTGTATCTCTCCATGCAACCCGCGTCCCCTGAGGAAGTTGGCGGCCCGAGTGAGCGCTCTGGAAGCTTGCGACGGGGACAGTTTGCCCGAGCCGACGATCATTGAGTGCAACCAGACCCCGACAGCAGCTGATCGGCAAGTCTCTAAATTTTGAGAAAAAAAGAGAAAACACATTACTTCGAGTGATCCCCACCATGACATTTCAATCATTTGTCTTGATGCCATAGTGAGGAACATGTTGCCATGGCCGTGAGTATTGTATACTCGATTTTGTTTGTGGGTCCTCGGGTTGTGTGCTGTGGTTGTGTGTTGTGTTTGTGGTTGTGTGCTGTGTTGTGTTTGTGGTTGTGTGTTTGTAGTTGTGGTTGTGGCTGTGTGTTTGTGGTGTGTTTGCAGTTGTGTGTTTGTGCTTGTGTGTTTGTAGTTGTGTGTTTGTTATTGTGTTTGTGGTTGTGTGTTTGTGGTTGTCTTTGTGGTTGTGTGTTTGTAGTTGTGGTTGTGGCTGTGTGTTTGTGGCTGTGTTTGTGGATGTGTTTGTGGTTGTGTGTTTGTGGTTGCGTGTTTGTGGTTGCGTGTTTGTGGTTGTGTGTT